CACCCATTAAATAAAATAATTTCATGTGTATGTGCCGACGAAAGAGAGAAAAAGAAGGAACAAATGGATGACAGAGGAGATTCTTTTAATGATGAAAGATAGACAGAAAATTGGAAATAGACAATGCAAGAAATATAGGGACTTAGACAAACAAATTAGGCAAAAATGTAATGAGGCAAAAGAGAGCTGGCTAAACGAACAATGTGTAGAAATTGAAAATCAATTCGATAAGAATAGTAATGTTTACCAAAGAATAAATGAGATTTCAGGTAAAAAGTCTGGTTGTTCAAACCCTGGCTGTATCAAAGGAAAAGATGTGTCAATCCTGTTTGAAATGAAGGACAAAATGAGTAGGTGGACGCAATACATTGGCGAACTTTTTAAGGGATAGTAGGGAAGCAATGCCGAGTTTTGCAGATAAAGTCAAAGGGGAGAAAATTCTTAAATCTGAAGTGCGTTGGGCAATGTCAAAGATGAAGAAGAACAAAGCAGCTGCACCAGATGGTGTGGTCACTGAAATGTTTGAAGCATTAGAGGAATATGGTGTTGATAGATTAACAGAAATTATCAACAAAATATATGATGACGGAACATTTCCAAATGAATTGGGCAGATCCATTTTCATTACTCTCCCAAAGAAACCAGTAGCCGTGGATTGTGAGCAATATAGGACAATCAGCCTTATTTGCCATATCACTAAGATTATTTTGAGGATTCTGCTTTTGAGAGCAAGAAGTAGCATAACTCCCATGGTCGGAAGGGAACAATTTGGTTTTGTAAAGGATGCGGGCACAAGCAATGCAATATTTGTGGTTAGAAATATAACGGAGAGAGCAGTCGAAATGCAAAAGGATGTGTACATGTGTTTTATTGATTATTCAAAGGCTTTTGATAAAGTAAGACATTCAGAACTTTTTGAAGAGCTGAAAAAGCTAGATATGTATAGGAAAGATTTAAGACTGCTACAAAGTCTATATTGGAATCAGTTTGCATGCATCAGGGTAGAAGGAAAGTGTAGTGAATATATCAACATCAGACGGGGAGTCAGACAGGGTTGTGTTATGTCGCCAGACCTGTTCAATATGTATAGTGAAATCATTCTAAGAGAATTGGAAGAGGAAAATGGGATACAAGTGGGTGGTCATTCAATCACAAATATTAGATATGCTGATGACACTGTTTTTCTGAATCAGAGAAAGATCTCCAGAGACTCCTGAATGTAGTCGTAAAAGAAAGTGAGCGAATGGGACTAGAGATCAACTATACCAAGACAAAATGCCTGGTGGTCTCCAAGAAGAGCAGTCCAAAATGTAACTTGAAACTGAAAGAACAGACTATTAAACAAGTCTCCTCATTTAACTACCTCGGCAGCATGATTACCGAGGATGCCAGATACGAGACAGAGATCAAGAGAAGGATAGCTCTCGCTAAATCTGCATTTTCGAAGTTAGGCAAAATTCTGACAAATCGAACAATGTGTATGAGGACCAGAATGAGGGTATTGAATTGTTACATCTACCCAGTACTTATGTTTGGAAAGTTGCGAAATGTGGTCTCTAAGAAGAATGATGAAAATCCCCTGGACTGACAAAGTTAGTAATGAGGAAGTTCTTACACGAGCTGGAGTGCAAAGGAAAATGATACGTGAGATGTTGATTAGGCAGTTGAAGTTCATGGGTCACATTACAGAAGGCCTTGAGAATCTTGCTTTGACAGGGAAAATTGTGGGAAGAAGGAGTAGGGGAAGAAGGAGGATACTTTGGATGGACAGTCTGCAGAAATTGTTGGAGGATACCATAATATCGTTTTAAATACGATATTAAACAAAGGATACTGATTAAGGTGATATTAATAGTTTACCTTAATCACAATAGGTAGCACAAATGCCATATGATAATAATTGAATTTAAAAGAAGGGTTTTCTCTCAAAATTAAAGACAGAGGAGGAATGTCGAGCAAAAAACAGAATGTCTGCTTTTCATGATTAAGTGTTTAGAAATGTATGACTAAATTTATGAGACTGATTCGAAATTGCAAGGGGAGCAACGAACTGTAACTAATTTGTTTTCCTCCATAGTTCCAGTATAGATTTCGAAAAGCGCTATTTATTGATCAAATTTGATCCATACGTCATTTCGATCTTTTCTTCAAGGATTTTTTTTTAATTCTGATTATTCATGTGTTTTGTTTCTCTCTTTTTGTATGTTTTTTTGTAATCATGTGTCCCAAAAGATTAACCTTCCCCTTCGTTTCCTCCATACCTAATCGTTGACGTTCCAGATTTCGATCTAGTCATTTTTAAGTTATACTATTGGTTCAAAATCACTTGCAATACTAAAACATTTCAGTAGATTCGCACAATATCTTGTCATTAATAGGCCCATGTAGGGGTAGAGAAAAGAGGCGCCTTTTAACAAAATTTGTTTTAAATTTCTTTTGGGAAGTAACGCTTGTATTAGACCGAAAATTTACTCTTATTTATGCTTTAAAGGTACTATGTCCCATTTGCAGACCAACAAAATGAAAAGGTTGAATTGCAACGGCATTTGAAAGACAATTCTAATTTAGAACTTCCCTCAAAACGAAAGGGCTTGAAATGGCTTTTAGTTGGAAAATAACGACCATTAGTTGTCGAATCGACTTCAGTGATTGCAATCACCTGAGTAAAAGTCTGATTTTCACTTACGTTTTGTGCTGCACAAAGAGTCAATCAGTTTAATTTTGGCCATTACAAAAAGTGGGTTATTGATTCAGACAGATACTCATGTACCTGTTACAGCTCAGTTTATGTATGTTATTACGAAAGAAAGCAAGATGTTAGTCAGCCACTCAATAGTGTCTGACAGTGAAGTCTAGAAGGTAAACGGGTTTCTTTGTTTATGTATGTTATTACCAAAGAAAAAAAATGTTAGTCACTCACTCAATAATGTCTGACAGTGAAGTTTAGAAGGTAAACGATTTTCTTTGCATAATTTGAATACTAGGACACTGCTAATGTTTAAATTTCACAGATAGGACAAATATTATGACATATTCATAATTCCTGCAAAGTTCTACAGAATTTGATGTTGGCTGCAAAAGGGACATAGTATCTTTAAAGCCTCTTTACCCTTGTTATCTCCTAAAAATATACAAGTATATGATGCCTCCTCCCTCTTTTCCATTTTATTTGTGTTTTTGTCTCTCTCTCTCTCTCTCTCTCTTTCTTTCTTTCTCTCGGGTTCCCTTACTACTATCAAACGCCTCATTTAAAATAATGAAAATACCCGCTTTTTGGACTACCCCTCAATAATGCTATTTTGTAATGAATATTGCACACGAGTCTACATTACTAATTTATCAAACGAAAGTAAAAAGTAAATTTGATTTTTAATTCACTTGAATTTCTGTTTATTATCTAATATCTTCCAAATGCACAATTCTAATTCTTAATGTATGAGAAGACGCTCCGTGGGCAAGTAATTTTTATGTTTTACCTGAAAATCAATTTCGGATGAAAAAACTAATTCGTTGCAGGGTCATATATATATATTTTATCTCTCTCTAAACGTTCACAATTCTTTGGTTGGTGTGAACATTTGATATACAGTCGATATGTGAAACTTCACAAATTGATGATGGTTAATCAAATGGTTTGTGAGATCTCCTTAAAGCAGTCCATCTTTACTTAATATTCATGTGGATCACACAAAATTATGAACTATTAATATTTCCTTTCCTTCCACGTTCGTCAAGAAATATTTATCGTTCATAATGTCACGCCAGTGCTCTTTACAATTATTTTCTTACATATTTTAAATTTACTCGGTAACATTGTTGAAGGTTAATGAAAAAGCTGCATAATTTTGTATAAAATGGTACTTATTAACCTTTATTAACCTTTTAGCATGCACAAAATCCTGAACAAAATATTTATGGTTTTCTTTGAAAGCGTCACTGTGCAACACCCTCTAACAGTACATTTTCTCAACCATTTTTGAATTTTCCCAACCGTTTTTCCATGAAGATAAGACATAGAACAGGCTATTAAAAATCTGTCACCACTTAAATGTCTGGAATGGTATATAGAGCTAATTCATTGCTATGTGACGACTTACATTCACATAAAATATAATTCAATTGTCATGATGAAGTTGGGATAATTAAGGAATCGATCAGATCAGTTTTCCCCAATTGTTATCATTAATAATGGTCTGTTTTCACTCAAACTTTCAGATTATCTTTAGCATTGAAGTCACTACCTTAGCACCTTACTCTCTCATCAATGTTACTAAGTCCCTTAAGTTCATATAATTTCGTAAGAGGTTTTTATTTTAATGTCTAGTGCTTATATTGGCAATATTGTTTACATTTATTAAAGAAGGTTTACATATAGTTAATGTAAAAACTTACTATTGAAGTAAAAAAAATGGTGATGATGATGATGATGATGATAATAATCATAAAAGTAATAATAATGATAACAACAAAATACTACTAATTCTAATTCTGCTACTACTACTTCTACTAATGATAACGATATGATAATAATAATAATAATAATGATAATAATAATAATAATAATAATAATAATAATACAAATAGTAATGATATCGATGATGGGATGATAATAGTAACAACAATAACAATAACAATACAATTACAATGATGACAATATTAAACACTTATGCAGCGCTCAAATCTACATGTATCATGTAATGTGGCCAAGCTCTCATATACTACCCCAGATCTAGCGAGGCTAATGATTTATGTGATAATAGCATACAAGAAATTCCTTCCTACCATGTACCCGTTATACCCCTGGATGAAGAGAGGCAAAGGTACGGTAGCATAGCTAATACCGAAAACTTAAGAGCATTCAAAGTTCTTGCGTCGATTCCCATCAGTTTTCATAGAACCACAGCACTCGGGTTAGCACTATAACAAATATATATTATACCGAATAAGATAAATATGAGCAAAATATTAGCAAAATTGCAAAATATTACCAAATAACTTACCTGGATTCTGATTGAATGAGATGAGGCTCCTACTGCAATCGTGTGAAACAAACTTGAACATCCGAGAGACACTATTCGTGTAAGTCTACGTAATGCTTTGATACAAGTGTACACTTCATCCTCCTATAACAAGACTGCGCTTCAAAAGCGAATTAATGAAAATTTAATGATGATGTAGTGCGCATGGGCAGACAGATATGATGCTGACCGAACCGTTTTAACTTGCCCCCCCCCCCACACACACACACACATACACACACATACACACAGCTTCATTCTTCTTCATGAGAATGGCACAGAAATGGCAACAGATCTTTAGTGATCTTTAAGATTTGTTGTTGTTGTTGTATTCAGCGTTATATAGCAATCAGTCAAATTCCACTATGATCACCGAT